AGAGAAGCATTTAACACAGCCAAGACTGCTGAAAGGTCAGGGCTGAAGAGCAATGCTACAGCCTTCAAGGTAACCAGAGAGTAAAAAGACAGGATTTGGTTATAGATTCATCATGAGGGATTAAGAAAACTACCTTTAATGATCCCCTGGTTCAAAGAAAAAGGATTGTTCTGAGATCTGAAGTACCAAAAAGAAAAAGTTCTATTGAGTTGTCAGAAAAATCATGACATAATTTTCTATGTTTTTATGCAAAAATGTGTCATGACTTTTCCAACAACCCAGTAGTTGGGTGAGAAACATGGGTTCAGATGTAAATTGAGGTGAAATGTTGAATAGGCCTATTTGGGTCTGGAGCTAAAAGGAGATATCTCAGCTGACGGTAGAAATTTTTAAGTCATGAGTCAAGCCCAGGGCCTGGTGGTTGAGGAATCTGGATCCCACATGGTCAACTACATGGTTCGAATCCCAGACCCAGTGGTTTGAAAAACACACCACACGTGTTTGCGTACATGCCCCAAATCCTGACAAAGCAGAGAAGTAGAAGAGAAGGGATTGCAGCATGGTCACGCCCCATTGGAGGGTGCTTTGTTTCCCCCTCACTCTTTCTGTCTTTCTGGTTAGTGCATGTACCCTCTGGCAAATTAAAAAAAATTTTTTTGAGTCGTCTTTGTTTAGATGGAAAATTAACCAGTATGCACACATTGAATTACTTAAGGCTAAAGGATATATTGTGAAAAGAAGAGCTATCCTAGTTACTGATCCCCTGAATTCATTCACATTTATATTTGGTAGGGGGAAATGAGTCTTCACAGACCAAGGTGAGTATTTCAAGAGAAAGGAGGAAAACCAGGAAAAGTATTCTGTAATGGAAAACCAAGAGTGTTTCAAGATGGTGATTAGCAGTGTCAGATGCTGCTACTTGAAGTAAAATTAAAAAATTCTCATTGGCTTCAGAGCCTTTGGGAAATCATTGGGATCCTAGTGACAGCTCTTCGTGGACTTCAGACCGGAATTGAGTGGCATGCAGAAATCGGACAGTGAGTTGGACGTCTCTTTCTAAGAGCTTAGCTCTGGGAGCGTGGCGATGGTGCAGCAGTATGTGAGTGGACCTGCATGGAAAGGGCCTGAGTTTGTGAAATCGTGTCAGAGTCTCCCCAGAGCATGCTGGGCATAGGCATGTGTGCCTGTGATCGGGGCCAGCTGCAACTGGGGGTGGATTGTGGCATGCAGACTCTGTGGGGGCTCCTCCTCCCCACCTGTTGTCTTTGTCTCAGGAAAGAGACAATGAGAAACATAGAAGAAATAAATGAATAAACTTAAAAATAGAAAGAAAGGCTTAGCTCTTAGTCAGTGAAAGAAGAGAGTACTCACAGTGAACTGTGTAGTGAGTATGTTTTGTCTCTAATGAAAACAAGTCAAGCATGATTAAAAATCAGTGGGTAACAAATCCATTAAGAGGAAGAGAATGGCTCAGAAGGCAGGGAAGGAAGGGTTCCACAGCACAGTTAAAACATTGCTTCAGAAGCCTGTAAGGATGTTTCCTATATATCCACAGTCACTTTATTAATGGAGACTCCTGGGTAACGGGATTGCGTTCTTAGTATTAGAGAGACGGTGGTTCCAACAGATACTTGTTTTCTCCAGAACTTGAAAGAGTGGGGAGAAGGGAAATCAGAGGGTTTAGAAGAATGGGGAGAAGTTTATGTAGTTGCGTGGAGTGAATTGACGGCAAAAGTGTGGTGGAATTGCCAGGAGCGCAGGGTTCATTTGCGGTGAGTTAGGGTGATGCAGCAGATAGAAGGGTGCCGTATCTCCAGGTTATTGGAATGCCGTGACAAAGAACGCAGAATTTTTGTTTGTTTGTTTGGAATTACAGTTTTGTTCATGGGAAGGATAGCCAAATACTAGAACCTTGAAGGAACAGGATGATGTAGATACTGTAATTTTGGCAAGAAAAATGTGAAGGAATGTGTGTGCCTGGCACTCTGGAAGGTACAGAAAAGCTGTAAATGTCGCAGGGCTGCTGTCCTCTGAAGGCCACCGAGGGGAGCGGTTAGTGGAGAGGAGCTTTGGTCTCAGGGCTTCCAAGGTGTAGTGGGGCCCCAGGTGAGGCGCACTGATCTGTGACTGACCAAACTATTGGAGGACTTAGCAGGAAAGGCTAGATCTGAACTGAATTTTATGGAGCTTCTAAAATGAACAAGGGGAAGAGGGACATTCCCGAAGAGTTGTAAAATGTATAATTCCTAACTGGGGTAGGTAAGACAAACGCAGTGATAACACATAATTGCAGTGAATACTCTTACACCGTGTACCTAAGCCATTTCCACGTCTTGGTCTGCAGTTCTGGTTATTGTCCTTAGAATTCACCATTGTTCTTTCGTGGACTGATTCGAAGTGTATGTATGTGCCTTGCATGTGCTCAGAAATAGTGTGCCCTTGTGTCATGGAGTTTCTTTGCTTTTTTTCCTTTGCTTCTAGTCAGGGTCTCCCCGTCACCACCCTCCTGCCTCAGTCTCCCCGCTGGGATTGCAGCCACATGCCTCCCTATCAGCCTTTAGGTGGATCCCCAGTAGCTAGCCACGGAGTCCCATGTGGGTGTCGACTGCTGAGCACAGCCTCGTAGGGCACACCAGCACCGTAGGGCCTAGAAGAGTTCTTTTAAAGTTGTACTTGAAATATTAATACATTTTAACTAAAAAATAAATGTAAAGAGTACTTTGTAAATGTTTTCACACTTTTTTTGCTATAAGGTACATGCACTCACCAGAGAGACAAAGACACAGAAAGCAAGAAATCACCCCCCGGGGAACCAGCAGTTAGCGTAATGGCTATGCCACTGGACTCCCACGTAGTCGACAGCGGTTCGCGTCCCGTACCCGGTGGCTTAAAACTCACGCCGGGCGCGTGTGCATGCGTGCCCAAGATCCCGAGAGGAGGATGGAGGAGAAGGGATTGCGGCGTGACCATCCCCCCTGGGGTGTGAGTTCTCGCTTTCTGTCTCTATGTCTCTCTCTGTCTTGTGAGTGCACGCGCCCTATAGCGAAAACCTCTTCAAAAAAAAAAAGAAAAAAAGAAACCCCCCCCCCCGTCGGGGGGGGGGGGGGGTGGCCATGCTGCAGTCCCTTTACCTCCATTCTCCTTTTGCGGTTTTGGGCACACATACACATGTGCCCAGCATGAGTTTCAAGCCTCCGGGTCCAGGACTCAACCACCGTCGACTATACGGGAGTCTGGCGATGTAACATTACATCATTTACTGGCCTTACTTTTTAAAAAAAATTTAATGTAATTAGGTTTCTGCCACTATGGGTGAGGCTCTGTTTTAGACCACTGAGATTAAAAAAAATGAATACAACAGTAACTGATGGCAGCGTTTGTGTTCTATGCCCAACACGGTGTGAGTGTAACAGTAGGTACACATCCCTGAGTGCTGTGACTTCTTTAAAAATCAGAACTTGTTTCTCTAAAGCCCTCAGACACATTTTTAGACTGTTGACTTTTTTCCTTCACTGTTTATGGAAGAAGTTTGATTGCATCAGACTGTGAATGTCGTGAAACAAAAATCTGGTTAGAGTGGTAGACTAAGTCTATAATAGTAAGACTCAAAATAAGGTGTGTTTGTTCTTGAATTAAGTGCCTTTGTAATTTTGGCTTTATTCCTCAAAGGTTGTGAAGATGAGAAAAGAAGTGAAGATAATCCGGGTTTTGGTTATCCGAAAACTTGTCAGAAGTGTCGGGAGACTGAAGTCAAAAAAGTTAGTCATTTAAAATAATGATTCTGTGACTAATAACATTTCCAAGGTTGTTTATATTCAGTATTTACCAAATTTGAGGGTGGGAGCTACAGGCTTAGTTAAATATCTTACTCAGACTGCAGTTTGACATGCAGAGATGACTGGAACGAGATAGAATGTCCTTTGTCAGCATGTTCTTTCATGGTTTGTACCATTTTCACTTCAAATACAGGATAAGTTCTTCTGTTATTTTTCCAGAAGTTTCCTTTTTGTTTTTACAGAAAGAAGTTTCCTTGGAGTTATTTTTGTGTTTTACATTATTAGCAGTTATTTTATGATGATGTATTTAACAAATCTTGTAATACCCTGAATCAATTACGAAGATTTTATAAGCTGTTTTCCTTGAATTGCCAGTAATTTGAAATCTTCACTTCCTTGTGGACGTGTTTCTGAGAACATTGTGTTCCATGTAATTTGTTGCAAAAAAGATAATATTTTGTATGTCACGCTCGGTACTGTTAATGGAAAAGTATTTTATTTATAGTTCCTATGAATTAAGCATGAATATTTAGAAAGTCTTCAAATGTGGTTTGTTTCTGATTAATGTCCTGTTCTTTCATAAATGTTTCAGAAACTAGCCCCCCTCTCCGATACAGTCAAATTTTAAACATCTTAATTTTTTCTGTTAATTCCAGAGAAAAGATTTTCATTTATTAAAATTTTATTGAACCTTCCATTGTACCTTATGCAACTTACATTAATTGACTACAGTGTGCTATAGATTGATTCATTACAAGGTATGATTGACTTCCCATTACGGAACAAGAGAAGGCAAGCCACCTATCAGTGGGGATAGTCATTAATATAAAGCCAGGACAGTGTTTACTTTTGCAAAAATTTTGGCTTATTGGTGAAATTGGGAGTGTATGTATTGGGGTGGGTGGAGGGCAGTGCAGGGTGGCAGAGTGTTATTTAGAGATTTATTACGCTTTTCTAAAAAGAATGAGACTTTGCATTATGATATGAGTCTAAAATTAATACCTGCCGCAGCTTTATATAATAATGTCGTTTTTTTCAGGGGTACTGAAGATGCACTGTTGAAAAACCAAAGACGGGCTCAACGATTGCTTGAAGAAATCCATGCTATGAAGGTAGGGCTTGGGTCAGTGTGTATCTGCTTTTGTTTCTGAGTCTCCCGTCAGCCTGCATCTTATGTATGTATGGTGTAACTAACTAATATGAATGTTCCCGAGAGTTGGCGAAGATTGTAGAACGTTTGCAAATTGTATAAGCTTGCATTTTTCCCTTACACTGAATTTGTTGAAGTGTTAGGCTAATTTGAGTCAAGACTATGCCAAACTAAACTCGTTTCTGATTAATAATGCCTCATGCCTAAGGTTTTTATTTTTACTGTAACTTTAGGCACGAAGTCTAAATTAAGTTCAAGAAAAGCGTTCATGCTATTTGGGAAAGTGCATGGTGATGTTGGCGGCTGACATCATGCTCTGCCTGTTGCCAGCTCAATAAATTTTTACGTGGTGGTGTCAGCATTTTATTCAGTGCTGTAGTGACTTGAAAGAAATTTAGTGTTGGACCAACATGATTTTTTTTTTTTTTTCAACCAGACTCTTGACTAGCATAATTTTAAGATCTTTTCACTGCTCTTACTTTGTGGAAACTTTCATTTACCAAATGACATACCATTACAAGTCTGGGAGGCTGTTTTATTGTAGAACTTAAAAACAGCATTTGGTACCAGCTATTATCTTAATTGTAGGATCATCTTGCATGTATGTTTTTGACTATTACATTTTGGAATAACTCACAAGTTCTAAGTTTGATAAAAAGCAAGAGAATTCTCAGCATTTTAACTAGATTATCAAATCTTCTTATTCTTCTTTTTAAAGGGATGGTAGAATATTTAATAGGACAGTTGTCCATCCCGGTTAATCTGAATAAAAATGGCTCTTTCACATGAGGTGTATTTGTTTCTTGTGTTTACTGCACGCGCGCGCACACACACACACACACACAGAAGACTACAAAATTCATGAACTCTATTTGATATTTTTTTAATCAGATGTTCAGGAAAAAAAGTCTGTGTTCAACTCCTAGTTGCCATTTGTGTCCCTTTGTTTACAGATCATTTGGGCTTTTTATATGCCCTTTTTCCATGATATTATGAGGAGCAGAGTCTTTCGGAGATTTTTGCATTGAGGATGGCACTAAGATAGGAAGTTAGGGTTTCTCTCTCACTTTCTCTTAACTAAGGTCCTTACTAAATTATATTGTCTTCCTAAATTTTTCCCGGTAATTTTTTTGAATATTTTTTTTTTTTTTTTTTTTTTGGAGAGGTTTTCGCTATAGGGCGCGTGCGCTCGCCAGACAGACAGAGAGAGACATAGAGACAGAAAGCGAGAAATCACCCCCCAGGGGGGATGGTCACGCCGCAATCCCTTCTCCTCCATTCTCCTCTCGGGATCTTGGGCACGCACGCACACGCGCCCGGCGTGAGATTTAAGCCACCGGGTCCGAGACGCGAACCGCGGTCGACTACGTGGGAGTCCAGCGACATAGCCATTACGCTAACTGCTGGTTCCCTTGAATAGTCATTTTTGTAGTCCTAAATTATTTAGAGGGTTTTGCTGTTATATAATTGCTGATTTTATTTTACTGTGGAAAGAATGCAATATATATAATCTTCTCTGCAGTATAGGAAAGTTCGAGAACAAAGGATATTCATTAATCTTGAAAATACTTTTTTGTAATTTGTTAACGTATTTGATTTAGTTAATTAGAAAGCAAAGTTCTGTTGGGTCTGTTATTCTTACATCTCATCAGCAAAGGGAAATCAGACTCACCAATGAAATCTGTAGGTTTACACGATGACTGTGTCACTACCATAGTGTGTGTGTGTTTCTGCTCTGATTATAAGACCACTGTGGAATTGTTACCTTGCAGAAAGCCAAACTTTATAGCCAGTGTATTCTTTGAATCTATAAAGTTTTATGGTACACGTGTTCTTTGAATATACATACTATGTGGCAGTAGTTACAGTGGACTGATTGACTACTCTGACTGCAGCTTTTTTGATAATGCCTGGATAAAAACTGGATTAAGTTTAAATATAAAAACCAGAGTAAAGGAAGTGTATGTTTGCTTTTCTTAAGTGTCAAATTTTATTCCCTATTTATGGTTCTTTTACAAAACTGATTGTCTTTTCTAAAGAAATGAAATACACAATGCATGTAACATTTTTCTTAATTGAAGGTCATTTGTAATTTCCTAAGGAAATGTTTATCATGTACATGGGAATGTCAAAGAAATAGCCACAAGACAGTAAACTTAGAGTTGCAATTAAATTTACTTACTCATTTTTCCAGAGGAATTCTTTTTATCCTTAGCTCGTGTACCGCGACATTTTTAAAGTCTTATTCATGACATACTGTCCTTTACTTGCTTTCTATGATAATAGGGTATTCTGTTGCAAGATGACTTTCTCATTTAAAAAGAAAAGAAAGAAACCTGAGTTATTTTTAGAAATGAGAGTTTGTTTTTCCTGGCCAAAAAAAATGACCTGATCTTTACGATACTGTAAAATCATAGGTTCTAATTTTATAGACTATAATGTATGAATTCTGTCTTCCGTGCCTTTTCAAATAGTATTCGTACTTTTTTGTTTTTTAAGAGACATTTTTTGCTATAGGACGCATGCAGTTGCTGGAGAGAGAGAGAGAGTCAGAAAATGAGAAATCACCCCCCAATGGGAATAGTCATGCCATAATCTCTCTTCTCCATTCTCCTCTCAGGATTTTGGGCATGCACACACTTGGGCGTGCGCACACACACACACACACACACACACACACACACACACACACACACACCAGGCGTGAGTTTCAAGCCGCCCAGCCTGGGACTTGAACCACTGTCAACTACATGGGAGTCCAGCAATGTAACCATTATATCATCTGCTGCTCCCATATAGTACTTTTAGCTTTTGCTTTTTTTAGTTTGCTGTACCATACATGTGCTCACCAGAGGGAGGTAGCCAGAGAGGGAAAATGAGAAATCACCCCTTGGGAAGATGGCCACATCACAATCCCTTCTCCTTGAATCTGTTCTTGGGAGTCTAGGAATGCACATTGTGTTTTTTAAGCTGTGATGTCCAGGACTTGAACTTCATAGTCGGCCCTGTGGGACCCAGCCACCTTAACCTCCATGCTACCTTCTGGTGCCTACTTTTAATTTTGATATTATTATAAATACTGGTTTCTGAGACATTTGCACTTTCTTTGGAATGTAAACTAACTTTTCAACATATACATACCCATAAGGTACTTAGCTGAGGAAAGAGGTGATAAAGTTGAAAGCACTTTCTGAAATTACTCAAAATGTGCAGAAAATTCCTTCCTTGATAGTAAAAGTTATGACTAGTTTTTACTCAGCATTAGCTACGTGTAAGGCCCGATACTATGTATTTTACATTCACTGTCTCATGAGGTATCAATAGACATCATTATTCTTATCTCAGGGACTAAGAAACTGAAGTTTAGAGAAATTAATTCACTCTTCTGAGGTCAAACAGTTAGTAAGTGGCGGACCCCAGGAGGATGCTAAAGCTAATAGTATTAGCCACCGTAAGGTACTGCTTCAGTATAGGTGAGAGCCTTGCAAAACATGTATAGACCCACTCTCATACAGATTGGATGAGCCAATTTACTAAACATATTTGCCTTCTAGGGAAAAAGGTCCTAAAAATTTACCACATACAGTCAGATTCTTTCATTCCTCACACACAGTTAAATATACATAGCTGTACCTCTTTTTTTTGTTTGTTTTATTTTCTCCTTTAATGAGCAAGAGAGACAGGCACCCCCAATGGGATCGTTACACTAGGATCCACCCCAACCTCACTGTGTCACGGATCATAGACACACATATCTCATTTGTTCAGGGAGGTTTCTGGACGTGAACCTGGAACTGTCCCATGTGGTCAGCCTCACAGAGCATTATCTTACCACTGCACCACTGTCTGGTGTCGGTTTCTTTTTCCCAACCTCCTCCTCTCTGAGGTCATTACTTCTTCCTGTAATGGATACTCATCTGTTGAGCACTTACCAGTCTGCTGAGTGGCCTTGTCTGTCTGCTTACGTCCAGTGATGTAACCCTTACACCATATGCTGGTCGCTCTCCTGTATTTTAAAGCTCTCCTTTTGTTTTATTCTTCCCCTATTTTTGGTGTTCAAGTCTGTTATTAAACCATACTTTAAGCTTACATCAGGTATTAGGGTCACCTTGTCTCATGCTTCTTCAAGCTTATTTCTAAATGGTTTGTCATTAGTGGATTGTAAATAGGAAAAATAGTGCAGACCATGACTGTGGAAGTATGTAAAATCAGGAGGGTAATACATCATCAAAATATTGGGTCATTAGGAAAGTCATGGGAACCAGCAGTTAGCGTAATGGCTATGTCGCTGGACTCCCACGTAGTCGACCGCGGTTC